TGTGTGTGTGTGTGTGTGTGTGTGTGTGTGTGTGTGTGTGTGTGTGTCTGTGTGTGTGTGTCTGTGTGTGTGTCTGTGTGTGTGTCTGCCCCTCCCCCACTCATGCTCTGTCTCTGTCTCTCTCTCTGTCAAAAATAAATAAACATTAAAAGCTAAAATATAAGTGCCCTAAATGGAAGCTCAGGGCTGGCTGATGAAGGTATTCAGTTTGAAGAGGTATTTTCACCCCTTTACCCAAGCTATCACCACAGTTAATTGTTATAGAACAAACACAGTTCTGGAATTTCTCTAAAATGTACTAGCTATCCCAAGCCAACATGAACCTAACAAAATTGCTGGTGCAACCAAAGAGATCAGCAAGATACATTATTACAATGGTTACTTCAGATAACTGACAAAAATAATTTAATAAGAAGCACAATTTGAGGCTAAGAAAAATTAACTATACATGCAGAAACAGGCAAAGTGCCCAGTTATTTCCCACAACTTTAGGGAGCTAAGCTCAATTTTGGCTGAACAGCCCAAGATTAATCTAGTACAGATGGGCATATACAAAAGAGGGAAAAAAAGAAGGAAAACATAGCCTTTTTGCCTTTTTTGCCCCCTCTTAAACACAGTGAACTGATTATACATTTCAAATTCAGCAGACAAAAGGGTATTTAAAGTATGACCTCATGTTGTTTGTGGGGTTTTTTTTAATGCCAAAGCTGATTACTTATTAATTACTGTTCCCCCCAAATACCCACAAAACAAAGGAGGTACCTTCGTTGAATAAACAAATTGATCGATAAATTTCCCATCTCCTGCAGCATTCTGAAGAGCAAACACTTGTTCAATTTTCACAACTGGAGACATGTTACACTTCTGCAAATCCAGGCTCCCTTTGTGCATTGTAATGGAAGCTGGTAAAGATTTCCTCGCTGCAGCCGTTTTCCAGGCTATTTTAACAGGAGGTGGTTCTTCCTCTTCCACACTTGTGTGCCGCCTCTGGCTCTGTCTCCGAATTTCAGTACTTGATGGTGAGGAGGCCACCTCACCTGCATCGGTCTGTTCTGGCTGAGTATTCAGCACTGACCTTGGTCTTCGTGTTTTCTTAACTTCGGCTTTGGAGGCAACATTCTTTTTTGCTTGGGATAAAGCCTCCTCGGGCTGTTTATCAATATAGATAAAAGTATACTGTTCTATTCTTTCCTCTCGGGTCATTTTCAATGCTTTCTCTGCATGGGCAATGCCAATATCCCACTGAGCACGTTCTCTCTGAGGTCGGGGTTTCCGAATCTTTAAAAAAAGACACAGGCATTATCAGATACGCTTTAATCTAACGGGTACATTTAAACCAATATATATTTCCCATGTGATTCTGTCATCTCTCCAGGTAATGTAAATATCTTCAGGTTCTTCAGTAAAACAAATGAAATGTTCTAACTCCTTAACTTTGGTAAGTCAGTATCAGCATCAGATGATATGCAGGTCTACTCTCTTTTATGTATTTTTTGTTGACCACTCTGCTGGATAAGTCCCTCAAAGAGGGAGCCATCCTCCTCACATTATGTTCATAAAAAGCTAGTAATAAAGAGAGCAAAGGGAAGAAAGATTACAGAACGATTACTTTCAGAGGCCAATAAAGCACTAACATTAAAAATGACACCCTAGGGTGCCTGGGTAGCTCAGTCGTTAAGCATCTGACTTCAGTTCAGGTCATGATCTCACAGTTTGTAAGTTCAAGTCCTGGTTTGGGTGAAAAACAGTCCCGCTTCAGGTGAGCCCTGTTTTTCTTTCTCTCTCCCTCTTTTTCTCTGCCCCTAACTTACTTCCACCCTCTCTCTCTCAAAAAAAAAAAAAAAAAAAAAAAAAAAAAAAAAAAAAAAAGACACCCTAGGGGTACTGGGGTGGCTCAGTCAGTTGAGCGTCCGACTTCAGCTCAGGTCATGATCTCACAGTTTGTGAGTTCGAGTCCTGCTTTGGGTGAACCAGAGTCCCGCTTCAGGTGAGCCCTGCTTTTCTCTGTCTCTCCCTCTTTTTCTCTCTGCCCCTAACTTACTTCCACCCTCTCTCAATCCAAAAAAAAAAAAAGACACCCTAGGGGCACTGGGGTTGCTCAGTTGGTTGAGCATCTGACTTCGCCTCAAGTTGTGATCTCACGGTTTGTGAGTTTGGGCCCCACATCAGGTTCACTGCTGTCAGCTGGGATCCCGCCTCTCTCTGCCCCTCCCCTGCTCATGCTCTCTCTGTCTCTCTCTCTCAAAAATGAATAAACATTAAAAAAAAAAAAAATGACACCCTAAAGCTCAGGAGTGCTACAGAGATCACAACAAAGCTAAATGGCAGAGTCAGCATTTGATGCTGGGCTGGCAGTTTGTACCATAATGCAAACAGGAGCAGAATGAAGAAAAAGACAGAACCTGGAGAAACAAATGAGGGTTGACATGACATAGGAAAGAAGCAATGCATGAGAGAAAAAATAACCCTGAATCGGTTTCCATAGGTCTCTATCATTGTTGATCAGAAGACTTTGAGGTGGCAAAACACATAAAAAAACTTTGAATAAAAGTATGTGAGATGACTAAAGCAACTATGAATTCTCCAGGGGGTTAGACTGGAGGGAGTCCAAAATTAGCTAAGGAAACTATGAGAGGGGATGGTATATGTGGAACACTGATGTATAAATCTGTAAAATGTTAAGTCTGAAAATGCTAAAATCCTCTGTGATAAAACTTAGCTTTTAAAGTATAAAAATATGAACAATTTTGGAATCACAAGAGACCCATCCTAAAATTAGTTGAGTTTAAAAATGTCAACCAGATAGATTATCAAGAGTTGATGTCCTAATTCTAAAACATCCACCACCACAAACATATTTCTTGGTTCCATCAAGTGTGCTCTTGGCTGAATCCATTGTTTAAGTTTTCTATGTCTCAATTTCTTCATTTGTAGAAATAGGAATAATAGTATCTACCTCACTTAGGTTGTTATGAAGAGTAAGTGAATTAATATACATAAAATGCTTAAAATAGTGCCTGTCTCACAGTAGGTGCTCACTAAATATTTCAGAAGCTTTACTTTCACAAAACAATTTACTAAATAAGACTAAAGAGAATTATGGAAAGATGTTGAAATAGGAAAAAGAGGGGCGCCTGGGTGGTGCAGTCGGTTAAGCGTCCGACTTCAGCCAGGTCACGATCTCGCGGTCCGTGAGTTCGAGCCCCGCGTCAGGCTCTGGGCTGATGGCTCGGAGCCTGGAGCCTGTTTCTGATTCTGTGTCTCCCTCTCTCTCTGCCCCTCCCCCGC